GGGGGGGGGGGCATGTATGAGGCAAAATTTGTGTTCACCTAGGTATGGTTTCGAAGCAATTCCGAAGCATTGGGTCTCATTTCCATAGTAATAGAATTCGACGGCGTTGGGTAATTTATTCAGGAGAAAAACAATCTTGCCTACCATTCCTGAGGGATAGGTTTTTGTTATCCAGTAATTTTAGCAAATTACTATAATTACTCTGTATTTGCTTTGAAAACATGAAGCACTGAGTGGTTAGACAACTATATATTTACTTATATCGTTTATTTACCTTTTTCATTCTGTTCCACGATAAGGTTGCTTCAATGTCTGCATGAAAACATCTGAGACGATGTGTTGATGTATGAGGTGTCATGTCTATAAGTGATGTAATGACAAATGGGCTCTAAACACCACCTGAGACCCGATAATGAATTGCGAATCAGACCTCAACTAATTTAATTAGAGACCTAGAACTGGGCTGGAAACTGTATTACATAAAAATATACTCCATCTGGACAAACTGGATATCCTTACTTTTTCAAGATCCAATGTAAAAATATGTATCTGATTCTTGGAAGGTCAACCAAGTCCCTCATCAATTTTCAGGCAGTGCCATATGATGCCCAGATTTCCCTGAGATGGTGGGGCATTTGAATTTCACGTTGTCTCGCAAAGCATTGTATAATCTTAGTATAAACTCATTTACCGCTACGGTTCGTAGCGCCCATCAAAGGGTGTGGTCCATCTGTTAAATCTACTCTCGGTATATCGGATCAACCTACCCTCTTCATGAATCATACTTATTGTAGAGCTATCCGTCATTGAAATGGACACTACTGTTTCCAATTTTCTGACAATTAGGTTTCGATTGGTCAATTTCCCCACAATTACCAGTTTTTGCTTGGAATTACCTTCATCTCCATTCGATAGCTCTCTTCATGATAGGATAATTGGAATCCAGGCATAGAACAGATTTTTCTGCTTACAGAAGCTCAAAAAATTGATGTTACACTTAATAGGTTGCGGATTTTTGTCTCCGGAAGTTTCCGCCAGACGCTTCCGCAGTCCCTCAGGAACTTTTTATTGGGGTACTTCATCATTGTCGCCCTGCTTGCTGCAGTCACGAACTTTTGTGCAAAAAGCAAAGAGTTTATGGAAGTAGAACTAAGCTCCAAATATTTTTTTACAGGGTCGATGAGTACAAGCTGGAGAAGGTCTACCGTCCTGTTGAGTATACGGAATATGAAACCTGTTTGGATGTCTCTAAAGGTTTCAGATGCCCTGTTGTCAAGTGAGTT